AACTCGCTTTCGCGTGGCTTGTCTATGGTGAGCCATGTCGAATAATGAACACGGGGTAATTCAATTTGCTTAGCCGCGATTTTTCTTTTCTTACCAATCAGCAACGCTGCAGAGCTCCTTATCTCCTTTTAACCTGGAGTCGAAAACACAGAAGTACTGCCATATACTAGTCGGTAGTACCGTGAGGCTTACGAGAGAAAATCGATAATCTCTCTCAACAAAAGAAATGAATTTATTCCACCGTCTAATGAACTAGAAAATTGTAGCAAGCGAAAAGTCATCTCTAATACGGCTAATTGGCAGTCTGATGTTTAACTAGAAGCTATCATATTTTGGGTTAATATTTGGTAGAAATGATTTTTGAAATGAAAAAAATTGCCATATAATGCCATTATTTTTTGTTAAGAAACTGTATTGTATTTTTGTACATAAAAACGTTCGATACACATAAGGGATTTTTAAATACATCAGAAATAGTTGTTTGTATGGTACTGTAATGAACTCCAATAGCATAATCAAAGTCTAGGAATATTTTCGCCTTCAAAATTCTTTTTCGACAAATTGCATTTTTAAATTTATTTTATTTTATTTTACTAAAGCTACGATATCTCAATACCCACATAATTAAAGGGCAAGGGCAACACCCAGGCAAGGGATATCAGAAATATTCATCAGAACCAATGAACCACATTCATCATCAAAACCACATTATTTATTTGAGTGTAGACATCGCAAATTCAAAGCCTTGTCACATTAAGAATTACTGTAATTGCAGAACATCAACTGTTCCATCTTTATACACATTATAAATCAATAACCTATGGGAATCTACGCATGCAATTCGTATTTATTTATTTCTATATAGTAGTGTAGTCGAAATAAAAGTCATATCAAGGCAAACAGGAAATGTCAAAACGGGATTTAATGAATTACCTACAGATACAAAAACAAGTCGATATTTCTTCTCTCACAAGAATCTTCTATCACAAGAATTTTGTTAAACGAATTGTCTTCCCGAGCTTTCGAGTGCAGTTTTGTGATAATTTTTTGTGTTCTACACCATAAAATCAGTTTTGTTCGAGTAAAAGTGAATATAATAGCGCAATATTTTAACATCATTTTATTCACGGTTTAAGATTATTATATATAAGATTAAAGAAGATTATATTAATGCCGCACATTCAGATCTCCTATTACCACTTTTTTCAAATTGCTTGTTTGCATACCTTATTCGCGATCGTGAATTGTGCCTCAATTATGCATAACATTGACAAGACAAATGTAGGATGTTGTAATTTACTGGATTTTATGGCACTGTAGAATGGACCCTACGTAGACTGGTAATTGAACCCGCTATTTCACCAGAGTTCTAGAACAACATTTTGACATTGAGCTAGTTTTACTCTTCTAACACTTTTTTTTGACAACACATTTTATATTAACGAAACTTAAAAGCAAAATTACTTTTACCAAAATTAAAGTCAATTCAGTTTCACTGGCAGGAATCACGAAAGTCTTTTTCCTTTGTACTACTACTATTTAGCTCTCAATGAATGTGTAAGTTTTTTTAATAGGCTCTCCAATAAAATAAATTTAATCTTCATAGTTCGATTTTCGTAACGTAACGTGATTAACGTAATTTCGAAAATAAACGTTAGATAGCGCTGTCGGCAAGCAGGGATGTCCAGCGCCATCAACCTCTCGGGCCAACGCATTTTCGACGTGAAACTTCATGTTGCCAAGAGTGTACATGTAGTTAGTTTGCTTATCTCTTGATGGAGTGGGCCTTTCGCTTTTGAGCCATTTTCTTTACAGCTGCCATGTATTGGGACCTGAAAGATACTTTTTTCACATTTTCTTATTTTTTCGGACTCCTAATGATAGAATTTAAGAATTATGAAGAATTATAGAAACTTGTCCTAAACAGAAATTTTAATTAAAAAATTTGGATCCATTTATGAAAAAAGTTCATTTGAACAAATTTGAACTCATTTTCACACAAAACTTTGAGTTTCTGGGAAACATCATCAGAAATATTTGAAGCACATGTCATTCAGTGAATTTAGGACAATCTGAACAAAGAATTTACAGAAACAGTTTGAAGCAGTTTTTGAGAAAATCGGTTTTTTATAATTGCACGTATTTCATTCAGAATTACAAAACAACTAATATTTTCAGTACAATGTACATGACATTATTTACTTTTATTAATTTCGGACAACAAATTCCATTTCAAGAAAAAAACATGTTCAATTATGCAGGAGTGTAAAAGTATTCAAACTTTTGTAATTGTTATTTTAACAGTGAAAATCGGGCAAACTCGATTCACTCTAAATGTGGCATTGTCCTTTCAACACATTGTGAAGCAATTCTTTATTCGTCCATACGAGAGTCTTAGAGGTAATTGTGTATGAATGAATGCTTTTCACCGGTTACGCCACTTGGGGCCTGATCCACACCATGGGTTTCGGCTTGGGGGAGGGGCTCTGCATTCTTTCCCAAGTATACCGCTTGCTTGCGCCGGGAAAACCTCACTACTTCAGAGAGTCGACGGTCCAGGACACACCTTTTTTACAATTTCGTACCAATCTGAAGGCTGCGGGGCAAGTAATCGAATTCATTGTCGTCTTCCGAAAGGTTTTTTCATCCATTGTAATAATTTAATTTATTTTACTACTTTTAGATCATATTCTTCTTAAAAAATATTATTACTTCTATTTTATTGCAAAAAATATACATTGCCAGTTAATTAACAGACAATTCAATTTTAGATAACATTTTTCAGAAAATGAAAATTAACTTTCGGTATCATGCCTAAACACTATGAAATTTCAACATCCTAATAAAATTGGGTTCCAATTATGAAAAAATTAAATAAATTTTAATAAAACAACATACACAACAAAGAGAACAACAGTGTGAAGGGAATTCAAATAATCAATTCATCGACATTTCGAACAATTACTTAGCGAATTATCTTTTAAATATGGTGCTATCGTATATTTTAACAATGTTAGCTAGGAAAGACGAAGAATGTTTAAAAATACTATTTTGAATGACGGAAAGAATGGATAATATGTTTATGAACGATAAAAAAGAATTGCACCTGAGTTAAGTAATAATTACATGTTGGATCAATGTTTTTAGCAGATATGATAAAAACTTAATCAGTTAAATAAGAACTTATGGCAAGATAATTTTAATCGATGCCCTCAATTTAATAAAATCATTTAAAAGGAAATTATCGTTATATGCATGTCAACTGAACATTTTTTGCTGTTAAATAACCTCCCAGATAGCCAACTTCAGAATTTTAGAATATACTACAGAAAATAAACAAACTTACTTAAAATAAGAAACGTTTGAAGAAGTATTTAATAGCGATTTCTCAGAATTTGCAAAACACGAAATTGTTTGCAATAATTTGATGGGTATATGATTGTGACGTGAACAGTGTTTCGGAAAAGCTGCCAATCGAGTTGAGTTGTGACAATGTGACAGTGAAAAACATTTTAAGCGTTTTTATTCCACTACAATACTGAAGATAGGAAGATAGACTAAAGAAATTTTTCTTCACGAATTACGTTCTACAAAGTTGAATCTTTAAATAGGGTAAAGTACAATTTTTCAAAAATATGACTAGTTTTTACGTAATTTTGCATTGAATGCAAAGGAAAGAAATAAGAAAATGAAGACAGAAAACTCCTATTGTAGGCCTCTGGTAACCAAAGAGTGAATAAATCGTGTTCCTTCATGTACTTATTTACTTCCTCTAATACATTGTGAAGTCAACCCACTTTTAATGCGTCCGTGATACTGAAATATCGATTAATAATGTCTGTTTGTCTGACCGTGAACAACGCAAGCCGCTAAACCGCAAGTGGGATTTACAAAATCGATATATCACGATAGATCTGACTGATGTCGTGGCCCCTTGAATTCCAAATGGATATTTGGATTTTTATGGGTACTTTACAAGAAGCCTCGACGTTTTCAAAATGTTCTTAAAAATGATTCCACATTTTAAAGATGATTAAAGAAATGGCATTAAAGAACTTGCACTTTCAATGTTCTATAATTGGAAAAGTTTAAACATTTTCAGCGTCTTCCTAGAATTACAACATTGAAGATTATTTTTTTTCCCTAAATGAAATCTGTTCTTAAGAAATAGAAGTTATTTATCATTGACATTCAGCGCTCTGCTACCGAGCGGTGCACACCTCGTCCGCTTCTTATCGCTCCGCAGTACCTCGACTGTGACCAGTGATAAGAAGGGCTCCAGCGGGGCTGGTTACGGCC